TAGAGGAGAGCTCAGGTCCGCCATTGCAGGGATTATGGGTCAGGAGATTCGAATGCGGCGAAGGCGGCATTGCAAGTGGCGTCAAGTATGCGGTAACCAAACCATGGCAAAGTTATTTGACGTGAATAAGCTGGCAACTCGAGTCAAAAAGCTAAGAAGGGCCTCCGTGAGGAAGTCATAATGCTACCTATGAGTCGGACTTATACTGTACTCTTGAAGTCTCTAGTTCAACTAAGTGAAAGTGAACACAACAGTTACACTTAATATCGTTGCAGTCAGTCGAAGCGGTGTACGCAAAGTCAACTGCTTTCTTTGTAAGATCGATCACTGACCGATCACTATTGGTAGACAGTACTGCAGGGGCGGGCTCACTGCACCTTTCTGGCACCGCCCCGACCGATTGCGACGACAGCAACTACAATATAAGTACGTATCTACCTCTGGTCTAATCGCATACTCAGTCACACCGTTTGGTGATTTCCATTTGACAATGTCGTCCTCTTCTGTTCCTGAAAGGGAAAAGATGAATGAATCCTCACTCAATTAGTAAATTATTCTCGACTATACTTCTGTATAACTTACCCGCGCAATAAATCTTGAACGTTTGGCCAACGCTTGCCACCACTTCGTGACCAAAAGGAAGAACCACATTTGGTCGGCATTGCTCAGAGCTAGCCAAACTCGTTGGTGACAGATTGGGAACACTGCAACGCAAATTTAGTGCTTTGAAAGTTACTTTTGTGGTTGGTTTTCTTTCCTTGTGAAAACTGAGGTGAAGTTACGAAATGAAAACTTCTATGACAGGATTTTTGAAAAATCCATAGAAATGGCTTCCCACCTCAGCACTTCTCCTTCCCTAGTGACACAAGTGGCATTGCTCCAGTCTGTTATAGTAGTGGTGGTGATAGCGTTCAACTGTTCTGAGAGGCATCCACAGTCCAATGGCACATCGGCAATGCGAATCTTGAAAATATTTTTATTCCACTGAGTTTTCACAACAGTTCATTGCGCCATGCATTTGTATTCTGCTTGAAAAAGCAGTGATTATTAGTTCCTGGGTTTCAATGCAATAGCAACCACCATTTTGGTGTTCTCACCAGGGAAATGCTGTGATGGAGAATATAGGGGAACCTTGAATATTTAAATTGAGGAGGCGACTTTTCCTGTGACGAAAATACTGTTCTGTCAAAACAATTAATACCACTTGAAGGCATTCTTTCTACACTTAAATAAATACTAGTCAAACATGGAGACTTTGTTAGCTAGATACCGTGAAAGAAGCAAAGTCCAGTTCCTTTCCTAGGAAAGCGTTATGATGTGAAGGGCTGCTGTGAGCGCAGCCATGGCTAGAGGATCACTTCAGCAAGTCACACTTTTTTGAAATTTACGTCCGGTCATTTCTTTCAGTCATAATTGCAAAATGATTCTCAATGTCCATATACACTGTTTTTACACCTGTACCTTAATATGAGCACTCACCCGAGGCAATCGTTGACCAGAATGATGGCGACAGAGTCTTGAAGGACATCGAGGCTGAACGAGAGAGGTTTGCATTTTGTTTTCATAGATTTCACTTAAATACGTATCTGTCACTCCAAGGACTTCCGGTCAGAGTTGCGCGAGCCCCATCAAGGACTGTATTTAGCCACAGGGGGAGGGAGATCGTAGTCGGCCTTGCGAGAAAGTTCTTTCGACTATTAGTAACGGTAAATCCTTTACCTATAATTGCTGGCAACACGGCAAACTGAATCATTATGTCTGATTGTTGATCGGAAGTGTGCTCACCCCGTCCCCTCACCCCCCTCCGCTCGATGGCGAAATTGGGGGAAAATTTAAGATTGTTCCGTGCTGGAGGAGGAAAGTGAGGGGGGGGGGGGGGTTGTGCTAACACCGCTAATACAACACCGTACTAACACCACATTTCATACAACCCAATAATGGGTCCTCTCCTGGGATTGTGAGGAATATTCGGGAACAAATTATGCATGGGGGCTCCAAGAGCTCTTGAAGTTCCTCACATTATTTCACTGGTGCAGTAGACCAAACTTGGGAACAATCGAACCAACAAAGTTTCTAAGAAAAAACTTCCAAGGACAAGGTAGTTTGAACTCACCTGAAGACGCTGATGTTTTCGAATGCGGCCGGCGAAATAAATGTGAGATTCCGACAACCATTAAAGAAAACCGAATGAAGCCGTGGAAAGTGAGAAAAAGCTCCAGCTTCTACTACTCGAACTTCACTTGACGACAGATCCAACCACTTAATTAGCACTCAATTAGCGCTGATTTTTCAAAAGCAACAACGCAACCTGATTAGAGTTACGAAAGTAATTACAGGAAGGAATATCAGTCCTAATGAGTCTTTTTACATTAGTGAGTGACTGAACTGTCTTGTCCGGATTGTTTCCTCCATCCTAACTGAGGACCAAAGGCAACAAGTCGTGCCAAGTCATACCAAACTCCATTTCTGCATTCACCTTGGCTAATCGCTACAAATTACCTTCCCTTTGCGTCCCACTACTATTATTGCAGAATGAGCATAACACATTTACAAGAGCATAGTAATTACTAACAAACTTCTTACCAATACTTCGGCTGCGCCACATCTCCGGGATTCGTGCCCGCCGTGACCCATGTGACCAGCGCCTCAACGAAGAGGCCTCACACGAAAGACTGATATGAGCATGCTCGCACCCGTGTGTTCTAGTGTCTTGGCAGACCAACGATTCATTAATGCGAGACATCATTTAAGCTGCCGTTCATTTGTCTATTATTCTTATTCTTATTCTTTTATTATTACTTTTTATTATTATAATTATTACATATTATTATATTTTCCTCATTGTTATTATTACGACCGAATATTTACCTGAAGACTATCGAGCCTTGCTTGCCCCTCACCAATCACTGTAATGGGATTTTTGGCTAGTAATAGCGTCCTCAATCCTTCCATACTGCGTAATTCCAAGCCAGGGACCTGCGTGAGGTTATTGGAGCTGAGATCGAGCACTTCGAGCTGAAAACACAGCAAATTGTGGTTGCTGAACGGAACTGAGTATAAGTTTGGGAAAGAAACAGAAGAACAAAGTAAGTAAGGAAGGCTGGTAAACTGAAGTAACGTACGTTTAGCATAGGGGTGATCGAATCGCATTCGACTCCCTCGAATTGATTCGCTGGCGTTCAGACTTCGGAATTGATGTTGCTGTCGAAAAATCGCTCATCTGAAAAACTCGTAAAATTTCAACTTTATAATTCAGGAATGGCCTTTTGTCTATGGAAAATTGGCAATACCGCAGTGCATTCTCTGCTCAAAGCTTTTTTCACTTTCTCCCCCACAGCCACTAGTCGTAGATCAAAGTTAATAGTGAGTTAAAAATTTTTCAAAGGGGGCCCCGAGAGTGATGTAACTGACATCACTGATAATCTTGGAAGAAGCATTTGAAGGAGTCCTTGTGCAAAATCGGGTTCAATCTCCTCCGAGAAGAATTACCTTGCTTCAAATTGGTGCGTCCTCTCCGGTGCTCCTTCCCCCTTCAACGTTCGGCAAAAACCCTTGTCTCCTTTATAATTCTATTTTTGCGCAAAGAATCCTTTAATCGCACCCTTCAAATCTACTGGCGCCAAGAAATTCACTGTGATGTGGTACTTCTACACAGCTAGATTTCTACTGGTTGATGATCGCCAACTGATTATCCCATGATTTTTGGTAATCTACCAGTTTTAGATCTCAACAGTACTTCGTTTTTCGCCCAATTTTCTCATTTACAAATGTGTGGTAGCTATGAGAACTTACCATGAATCGTTCAATTCTGTTGCCACTCAAATCAATATCGTGCAGCTGTGGAATGAACCGGAACGCATGCATTCCAAGAGTCTGCAAAAAAATTCATGAGTGACGTCTCACACTGGTTTAACAAATTTTACCTGAATAAGGTTGTCATTCAGACGAATAATTCTGATCTGGGGCATACGGAGCGAATCATATCCTATGTAGGAGATTCTATTGTGACCAAGATGTAGCTCCTCTAATCGTGGAAACGGTGCCAAAAAACCTCGTTCAATCTTCTGAATTCAAATTTTTGGCGCACAAGATCACCTGTGGAGATCAAAAAAACGTCATTGTGCAAGCCTACCGTAAAATTATTGCGTTCGATTATTAGTTTCCTAACTGATGGGAACACATTTTGAGTGCTCAGCCCATGCACCATCGTTGGGACTGTTGTCACTCAAGTCGAGCACCCTGAAAGAAACAGCATCACATTCAGAATTCATAGATGTTCCTGTCTGAGCATAATACTCACTCCAGAAATGTGAGGGTTGGCATCAGATCCAAGGACAAGGATGGCGTCCTATGAATCGCCAATGTCTTCAGTCCACTCCATTCAGCAGTGGCCAGATGAGCGCTGAGAGCGGAAAAAGTAGTTTCGTTCAGTGAGATACATGTCATTGAGTCCCCTGAAAACTCTGTTTCATAATAGAAAACTTGAATTACCTTGCAACATTCTCGGTTTAAAATTTTTTAACCATTCCTAAGCAGCAGCATACGTAAGCTGTGTTGGCGTGTCGCGAACATGACTGTAGACGTCCTTGGGCCTTCGCAGCGAAAACGCAAAACCAAAAGCATACAGGAATATGGCCCTTTGCCTGCTGGGCTTGGAGCACTGGCACTGGCTCTGTCCAGTGACACTCAATTTGTCAACAGTTGTGAGGCAACACGGTCATCCTGCTATGCGTTTTCGACGCAAAAGCAAGAGAGCAGACACGTGAGCGAAACTGGTTCGCTAGTCCGTTTGTTGGCGGAGCCCAATCGGGAAGCGGAGTTGTGGGCCTTTGAATGGCCTTGTTACCTACACACTGCATAATTTACATTTGAGTAATCAGTTGTTTCCTCCTCCTCTTCCTAGTACAGATATTTACTAGTTCTATTAACCAGTTTATCAGTTTACCTGTTTGCTCAATTGAGTACCACTGATGAATTACATAGCGATATTGGCGCATGCGCTACAAATGCCTAGTTATAGTAATTCCAGCAACCAATTATCCTGGAGACACTACGATGCGAAAGATCATCGAGAGAGATTACGGAGCGTGCGTGAGCGCGCGCCGTCGGCTGACTCATCCTCTCTGCTGTTACAATGCAAACGTCTTTACGAGCTCGCTAGGAAAGTAGCCTATACTCAACAACATGACTGTGCGAGATATCTATTGAGTATTCTTAAGGAGTACCTCAAGCAGCAAAGCTCAAAAAACTATTTCGATGCATTGAATGGCATTTATTGAGCAAAACAATGACCAATATCTCGTCTGCTGGACCAAACACACGAAGACGTGCTTCATCACCAATCTGTTGAGTCATCATTACCCTAGATCTGCGTACTTTTCACTAAAATCCTTCCAATTAGCCTTTGAAAGAACTCTCAGTCAAAGACAGTACCCGCGCTTTTTGCATTTTGTCGCACGCGTCCTCCCTTGACAGAGCTAGCCCTGCAGTCTTGACTACTTCGGCTGCACAAAGGGTGAGCAGCGTAGCGACCCTCAACAAGCTGGCAGTTCGCACGGTAAGTGACATCTTAAACTTTCGCTGCATCGGTATTATTACGGCTTGCCAAAGCATCGAAACGATGCAAGAAACATATGCCAAGCCCAGAAAACCGGCTTTTTTGAGAAAACACGGACTCCACGGGGGTTTAGATACTTCATAATCGTCGAAAGCTGAAAGTGGTGCGAAGTCACAAGGGCCGCAGAGTGTCATGCGGATGATAGAGTGCAGAGGTAAAAAAGAAGATCAACGCTTCAAAGGGATTGAGTTCAAGTTGTCCACAGACTAGTTATGACACCTGGTTGCCGGTGAAGCGGCTGTTTTCTGTCACAAGTGCAATTTTGCACAGTATTTTCACTTCCTTCATAATTTGATGGCATTACAGTGGATAACGCGAAGAAAGATTAGTGAGCCGGAGATGACAGGATATCGTTTGACTGGCAGAAACGGGCAAATCATGGGAAGAGGATGCCAATATTCTTACACAAGAATGCTGAGTTATGGGCAAAAGCCAAAAACCACCACAGGCGGGAGTCGAACCCGCACCTCACGCTTTCCGGGCAAGTGTCTATCCGTTACGCCACAATAGCCGCTTTTAGCCTCTTAGCTCAACGGATTTTATGCCGTAGCCTATAAGCACTCCACCTTTGGCCAGGGGGCGTTTGGAAATTTTTTACAAAATTTGCAAAAAAGCCTCAACCTGCGGTCATTCGCTAATAATCAACGACGGCAGACCGGCTCAGCATGGTCAAAAGTGTAAGCGCTGATAGGCTACGGCTATAAAGCCGCTGAGATGAGAGAGTAAAAGCGGCTCTGGTGGCGTGACGGATACGTACTCGCCCGGGAAGCGTAAGTTGTGGGTTCGACTCCCGCCTGAGGTTCGACTTTTGCCCATAAACTCAGCATCTTGGGTACTTCGAAGCACTCGAACTGCTTTCGTTAAACAGCAGCCAGTTATCGCATATCCTTGACGAGTGTTTCAAATTTCCTTGCTTATCTTTCCCTTAGAAGAGTCCTCTAGCAAGTAAAAGGTCTTTATGAACACCACTACCCACATGATGCAATCGCCAAGGTCTGCCTTAAGCTTTGTTTATATTTTCGACTATAAAGGGGCGCCACTGTTTGTGCCCACTCCAACTCGTCCTCCTATGAGAGTATTCTTTTCGTGATTCGGCTAAACATCGGCTTTCATGTCTAATGAATGTCTCCTCATGGCATAATCATTTCAATCACTATTCCCTTCATGCATGCGAGGCTTTATGAATTCCGCAGCTCGGAACAGCGTCAAGGATGTTACATAGAGTAAAACTTGCGCATGCTATATGGCCCCAAAAAGAAAAAAACAGTCGGGTTCACTGCAGGCTTTTTCATAATACAAACACAAATATTATCCGCTCATTGTTTCTGGGCAAGTGAGTATATTGCTTTTGTTAGAAGAAAAATTACTAAGTGAACCTGCTCCTGCCGCAGAGTTCAAAATCTCATTCGTGAAAGATTCGAAGGGATCGCAACTTTGGTGATCCCACCATTTCACTAAAGGACATCGATTGAAATAATTGGTATGAGGCACAATTTTCGTTACCGGTAGCTACACCCGCGAACAGCCGTAGGGACCAAAAATCAATCGAATTGAGGTCTACCTCCAAATTATTTTGGAAAAAAAATCGAAAAAGCTGGAACTGGGCTGGATATGACCTCCTCCTAGCAGCCGTACAAAGCGCGGGCCAAGGTACAGTCCTCATCATTGCGGACCGGTGGGGTGTGTCAGTGCGGCTGCGTTTGTGCGCGCTGCCCAAAGTCGCTTCATGCCATCATTTGTTGAATCGGGCAAGTGACATTACTGTATTATATCCTTCGTATTACTCGTTTTCTACCACTTTTTGTCGCATACGCGTTTCAACAAAAAAGGCTGAGAACGGCTTCAACAGTGTGCACACTCATACTGGCTGACACGCCCCACCGGTCCGCAATGATGAGGACTGTAACTGTTCCAGGATTCGGCGCCCAAACCGCGCGGGCGTTGCTTACTGCCGCCACATGCTCGCTGGCTCTACACTCTAGATCCCTGAGATTTGGTAGGCGTGGCTGCCGTACTTCGAGTGGAATTCGGCGGGCTGTGCTTTTGGTGAATATTTCATGTTGACTCAATTGTGGTCATGTCCCTGTCGAACACAAAACAACTATGACAGTCTGTGTTTCAAACTGGAACACCCACGGGCAACCTATTCTATTCCATTCATGTTCAAATGCCACGCCTCCTCCGTCTCAGAGATGAGAAGTGTATCTTCTCGCACTCTTCGCCTACAGTGAAGCGTTACAACATTTGACCCTGTCTCTGTAAGTCGAGGATCTGTTTCGGAGAGACCAGCAACCATTAGCTTTCTCTCCCCCCCGCTAGTTTTTTCTTGCCACTTGCTGGACCATTTTCTAGCCTGTCATGGATTTAAAATACATTTGTCTTAGCGTAAATGAACGACTTCGGGCGACCCTCTCCTGACTAGAAGACTGCGATCGGAATCTGTGGTGTACTGGTCAAGACCGGGAAAGTTACAGACATATTATTATTACTAGTACAACTTATTACAATCACATTACCGACCTTTACATGTGCATTGCGGTGGACATGTAGCTATTGCAACCTCGACGAGGAACACTACGGCGAGCCACCGCATTAGTGTGGCTTCACGTCGATCGCAGTCAAAATGGACTCTGAAACGGGAAACTTTATAAGAAGTCATGAAAGCAAAAAGCAAAACGACGAGAAGACGCAATAGAAGTGACCAAGATAGCATTCTCCATTCATTCCAGTGCCCTTTTCAATCACAAAATGAATCTTTAGTGGTCTTGACGCGATTCATTGCTATCCATGCATGTTTGTGGCAATATTTCAGTCTTTATGGCAGCCGTTTAATGATGGGATCACCATTAGCCGCTTGAGGAATGATTGGAGAATTGGAGACGCTGGCGTTTTAATCCCTTCAACTGCTTCATGTGATCATCACATAGATAAGGATTTTGGATGCGATCCATTAAATTCTGGAACGGGTTTCATTCAAATAAATGGGGTCACTATATTTTAGAAACTAACTGAATGTAACTGAAAGTCCATTTGATGTAATGGTCTTCTTAGGAATGGGTTTTCTCATAAATTACTCCTCAAAACGAACTAAATTTGCTAGAAAAAAAATAAATCAAATCATCTGAGAGTGTCTGAGCTTCTGAGAGATACTATGACTGAAACCATAGTAGTCCAACAATTTTCAACTGTACACTTACTAAATAGAAGGCTAAAGCGCCCTTCTTATGTGGAATGCCCAAGTTTTGAGAAATGCCCACTTGGTTGACCTACTTTGAGGAATTGTCGGTACAATGACGGTCGAATGGACGCCGCGATTTTACAAAAATAAATAGGGCGTGTGTTGCAGGTGTGACCTAACCGCGCTCCCTAACCAGGAGATGGGGAGGGCGTGTCCACGTACTTAAATTCGAATGCCGCACATGTGGGCAGATCCCCTTCAAGTTAAAAGAGGAGAGAAGTGTAGCAAGCAACATCCTCTTACGCTTTCTGCGCTCTCTCATATAAACGCTGACTGCGTCTCTGACTGAATCAGCGGCTTTATGCCCTGGGCCCATTTCCCTGAACACGCTCATCTTATTTCAGGGATATGGACTGTACAAAACTAGATGTATTGAACAGTATGGTTAAGTGCATGCACTGTTTTTGAAGTGGTTTTGTTTGATAACTGTCTGTTACGCGCCGCAAGACGCGTTGCGAAAACGTTACCACAGAATGCGAGTTGTGGCAAAAGCGTGCCCAGCGGCGAGTCGAAATCCGCACCTCAGCGCCCGGAAAGCGTGAGTGCGGGTTCGGACTCCCGCCTGGGGCACACTTTTGCCACAAGCTCAGCGATTCTTGTGCATGCACTGTTGTACAAAGAATTATTATATTACCAGTCGGATCGC